CTTCTAGTGTGCTCACAAACAAGCGTTTTGGAGCTTTTTTACAAAGTCAAGGGCAATAACTCAAAAACTGTTCATCGAAAATGCATCAAGTTAGAACTTTTCCGAGATCTTATTAATTCCAATGATCATACCAAGTTTGTTCAAAATCGGATGAAAACCGTTCATCAAAAATACGTCAAATTCAAACTTGACCGTAATACTCCAATCATTTATTTGCTAGTAGATTCAGACTTGCCATCACTCGAAATACCGCATAGAAGACAAAGCGGACCAAAGACAAACTCGGATGAATAAATTTTATTATGGACAGCACTCGTACTAGGCTATAACGTTAAAGACGCGTTGATGTGACATTGTTTGTCTAACCTCCGCTCGTCGTCAAGCGTATACGTCACCTGACTTAATAGGCGGGGCTTACGTTCTGGTTGGCGATTCGCGAATCAAGACACCCTGAAGAAGAGTTACATAAAGGGAAGTAAGTAGTGACAAAATCAGAACACAATTAAACAGTCCCGTGGTGTATAGTTTTATGACACATCAATCTAGAAATGGGAAATGGAACAAGTGACATCAGGTGATCCAGTGAAAACATACCTCATTTTGGATGTTATCATCAGCCGAATTATCAAGTAATAACTTGACCATATCAAGACGACCTTTATGAGAAGCCACATTAAGAGCTGTTTTCCCTCTCTGGAAAATAATATACCACTTCAGAGAAAATATTATAATACAGGTGATAGGTAATATACGCTGGTAAATAATGAATAATGAATTATGGGTTTTGTTGAATGGAAGCCAATCTTATCAAAATTACTTTATAATTTCGTTTTTTTGTTTTCTGATATTTTATTTGTCTTAGTTATAATATAAGGGGATTTCTACCACAGGTACGTTCTAATGACTTTATTTTTAACCAATCAAAGCTTGTCATGTAGAACCCGTTTCTTGATAACATGATGAATTGTGGGATAGTTAAACCTAAAGTAGTACTATATAATAGACTCTTTCGGTTTCGCTATCCCATAATTCTTCATCGTTATCAAGAAATGGGAAATGGAACAAGTGACATCAGGTGTTCCAGTGAAAACATACCTCAAATTGGATGTTAACATCAGCCGAATTATCAAGTAATAACTTGACCACATCAAGATGACCTTCTTGAGTAGCCAAAGTAAGAGCTGTATTCCCTCTCTGAAAAATATTATACCACTTGACAGAAAATGTTTGAATGTGTTTTATAATTTTCATCTTCTTTACTGTGTAATATTTTTCCATGATTCTCAAAATTGATGGAGTATAACAACTTTGATATAAGAATTGAAGAATTGAAATAAGATAGCTTGCCAGGCAAGGTAATATACGCCCACTGGCAGCCCTGATTTTGAACATATTTATCAGTACAGTAACAATCACCAGTATGAAATATTCAACCTCCAGTCATACACTTCTTTTGAACTCTTGTTCTTGAAAACGTGTTCAATCTTTAGCTCGTGAAAACTCTAGAAGACAAATATTCAATCTTCAGTACGATAATAAAACCAACTTTTGTCGAAATTCGGCAAGAATCATGCCTTCTATGAGCTATAAATCCAACGAGTTTTCAAGATCAAGGGCAATAACTCATACTAAATATTTTTCAATTTTTCGGATTTTCAATAGGCTTTATCCTTGGGTGATAACAAACACTCAAGCCAAATTTCGTTAAAATCCGTCAAGAATTGTACTTTCTAGAGTATTTACAAGCTAAAAATTGAACGCGTTTTCAAGAACAAGGACAATAACTAATACTTAATATTTTTCAATTTTTCTGATTTTCGTTAAGGTTTATCCTCGGGTGATTACAAACACTCATACCAAGTTTCGTCACAATCTATCAAGAATTGTGCCTTCTAGAGTGTTTACAAGCTAAAAATTGAACGCGTTATCCAGAACAAGGGCTATAACTCATACTAAATATTTTTCAATTTTTCGGATTTTCGATAGGGTTTATCCTTGGGCGATTACAAACACTCATACCAAGTTTCATCAAAATCCGTCATGAATTGCACCTTCTAGAGTGTTTACGAGCGTTTCAAGAACAAGGGCAATAACTAATAGTAAATATTTTTCGTTCGTCTGATTTTCAATAGGGTTCATCTTTGGGTGATTACAAACAACCATACCAAGTTTCGTCGAAATCAGTCAAGAATTGTGCCTTGTAGAGTGTTTACGAGCAATTGTGGACGGACGGACGGACGGACGGACCGACGGAAATGGGTGACGGCAATATACGCCCCCATTTCATGTGGGCGTATAAAAATGGACTTTAATATCCTACTTTTCTGTTCCTCACTGAGGTAGTGACAGACCCTGCAGTGTGGAATGGGGGTAAGTGGAATTAGAATAATCATTTTCAAAATCTTACAGTTGAAGGTTCTTAATGAACAGAACTCAAGTTTACTGACATATCTGCATGAGTACACACTCTTTAATTGTTAGACCTCACAGATACAGAGCTACATCTTTACCTTAGTTACATTATTTATATTAACATCTCTCTCTAACAATGATTTTACAATATCTACATGTCCTTCTAGACTGGCACTATGCAGGGCTGTAAAACCATTCTGAAAAAGTAATAGATATGAATGGAGCTTAAATTCAGAACATTTACAAATTCACATATCACACAAAAACTATTTTAAGTTATCTATTCCGGACTAAAATATCATAATACAGGTGATAGGTTATATACGCTGGTATAAATAATAAATAATGAATTATGGGTGTTGTTGAATGGAAGCCAATATTATTGAAATTACTTTACAATTTCGTTTCTTTCCTTGTTATCTGATATTTTTTTGTCTTAGTTATAATGCAAGAGGTTTTCTACCACAGGTTCGTTCTAATGACTTTATTTTTAACAAATCACAGCGTGTCATAAGTAGCTAGAGCTTTCAGATAAGACGCATTTTTCCCCCATTTCATTTCATTCCATGGGGAAAAGTGCGTATAATCTGAAAGCTCCCTCAAAAAGACCATCCAATCTGAAAGCTCCCTCAAAAAGACCATCCAATCTGAAAGCTCCCTCAAAAAGACCATTCAATCTGAAAGCTCCCTCAAAAAGACCATCCAATCTGAAAGCTCCCTCAAAAAGACCATCCAATCTGAAAGCTCCCTCAAAAAGACCATCCAATCTGAAAGCTCCCTCAAAAAAGACCATCCATCTCCTCAAAAAAAGACCATCCAATCTGAAAGCTCACCTCAAAAAAAAAACCTCTAAACCCTACATTTCACCAATTCCACCTACCCACCAAAAAAAAAAAAATAAATTCACCCCCTACATTTCTTCGTTAAATTAACTCATTTAAAAATAAAATGTCTTTAATTCTAAAACACGAACAACACAAATTCGAAGGAGACGGTATCTTTTCATCGATATTTTCTCTAGGTAAAACAATAATTCCCAAAGTAGCCAGCTTCGTTTCGAACAACTAAAGCTATCTGTTCTGTCGCGGAAGCGGGAAAGAGTATAAGCGACGCAGTGAAACAATCTGACGAGTTGAAAGAACTGCAACTAATAAGAGAACTGCGAAACAGGAGATTAGAAGAAAAGTTATAGGATAAAAATCATTTCCATGGTAAATTTATATTCAAATCTTAAGCCTTAAAAAATGGCAAATAAAATACTAGATCCAATCTTTAAATTATTCATTTAACAAGAAAAAAGAGGATTATATTATCATCTCACCCACTGTTGGTTCTAAATCCCAGTTGAATGATGGTGGTAGAATTACCTTCGAAATTAATTCATTGTCGAATTGGTTGCTTCTTCCCGATGCTTATTTCAGATGCGATTTCAAAATAAAAGATGGAACTCCCAATGAAAATCGTGTGCCACAAACCAACACAACGCTAGAAAACAATTTCTTTCCGTCTTTATTTAGCGAGATGGTTTTGGAAGCTGGTTCAAATCCGATAGAAACCATTAAACACCCTGAGGAATTTGACACCATGCTGAAAACAGTTTTATATCCTAAAGACTTCGATTCAGTCTCGGGTTGGATACCCGATGTTGGCGATGGAAGTGTTTTAAAAGAACCGGTAAGAAATATTCCAAATGATGCGGATTTAGCTAGGGTGAGAGCTGTTGCTCGAAACACAATAGAAAGAGTAGGACGAGCAGTTAATCTTGGATTCGAAAAACGAGTATAATAATGTTGTTGAGAATAATAGGTGGGGTAATTACGTAAATTGGAAGTTATATCCTTTATTCGGTCTGTTGGAACACAGAAAGGTTTCCATAGGATTATCATATAAAATTCATCTACAAAGAGAAATCAACGATGATAAGATATTCTTTGGAGAGAATGCTTCAAACGCCAAATTAGAAATAACGAATCTCCAGCTTTGCATACCGGTAATAACACCGTCAATCGAAGTGGAAACGAGAATATTCAACTCTTTAACCAAAGACATCGAAATAGCATTTCTTCGTCGTAACATGGTAGGTAGCATGACTTTAACTGGAGAATCCACTACATGGTCAATCACCAACACTATTAAACCAGCGAGATATTTAATGGTTGTTTTCAAGAACTTATCAGACTCTCAGACGAATAACAATAATATCTTTAGAGTAGCAATGAACCAAACTCAAGATCCTATAATCCAGAAAGTTCAAGTAAGATTAAACAACGATAATTATCCTAACCAACCTTTAACAATTAATCCATCCACGAAGGATTACAATGAATTGTACAGAAACTATAAAAATATGTGTGAATTATTTGGCAATCCAAAACAGTTTGAATATGTAGATTTTGCAATTAATCACCCAATCTTCTGTTTTGAACTCACCAAGAAGATATTTTCAAAACGGGAGTGAATATAAGTATCCATATCGAAAAAACACAAGGAGATGTGACCGGTTATTGTTATTGGAAGAAGAAAAACATTTAATTGAAATAACAGATAGAAGAATGATAAGAATTGAGTAAAACAATACCCTCTTAAAAATGAAACCGGAAACTTTAGCCAAGAAAATAATAGAAGCTATCGAAACGGAATCACCAACTGTTATAACTTTCAACGGTAAAATAATCAACATAACTAAAAAACTTATTGATAAATACAAATATTGTAAAGTCAGAGACGATATATACTTGGAAAGAATTGACGCAAACGCAAAAGAAGGTGGATTTTTACCTCTCCTACCTTTGATATTTGGTGGCATTGCAGCGGCGGGTGCAGCAACTGGTGGAATATCTTCCGCAGTCAAAGCTGCCAACGAAAAGAAAGCCGCTGAAGAACGGAGACATAATTTAATAATGGAAAAGGAAGCAAAAGGTTCGGGAGTAGCAGATATATTAGGAACGGTTAAAGAATTCGGAAAACGATTTGGGGAAGAAACCAAGAAAACCTATAAACAAGGATGAAGTAAATTAATAGATAGTATTGACACCAGAGAAGTCAAAGTCAAACACATTTAGGACCATTTTTGAAAAACATACACACTGGAGAAGGAATATATCTTTCAAAGTATAAAGGAGAAGGAGTGATTTTTGGAATAAAATAAAATAATAAAAAATGGGCAAGAAATTCAAACATTCAGAAATATTTCCTAGCAACCCCATGCTTATGTGTATATGCGATAGTTCGGGTTCCGGGAAAACTCATCTCACTTTTAACATGTTGACAACCCCGAACCTTTTAGATTTCGATTCATTATATATCTACACAACAACACCAGAACAATCATATTATCAATTCCTCAAAGCTTTAGAATATTTACCCAAGAAAGACGTTCAAGACATATTTAAATATTATGAAGACAATGAAGTGGAAATAAAAGATATCTTAGATACATATATAAAAGAAAAGAATCCATCTTTCAATCCATCGGACATAAAAGTTTTTCTTACGAAAAATGTTAATATTTTAGATTTGTCTAAAATTGATAGTGAGAGAAAGAACTTAATAGTGTTTGACGACTGTGTAGCACAAAGAAATCAAGCTGTTCAACAAGAATTTTTCACGAAGGGAAGACATCACAACTGTCACTGTATTTACCAATCCCAATCTTTCTACGCAAATTGTTTTTTATTATTCGAATTGAACGACAGAGACTTGTCTCAAATCATTCAGTCGATAAATCACGGAATGGACAGAGACACGTTTAAAAAGGTTTGTAAAGCTCAATGGGGAAATCCGGACGATCATGGATATGTATTCGTCAATACCAGAAAACCTGCGGGTGAAAGAGTTATGATCGGCATATGTTAATTTTATTTTTTTTAAAAACGACGGATTGGAATAGTGTTTTGAAAAGAAACAGAGAATATATCGAGGCCAAGAACAAGATAAAGACCCAAGTTGAAAATAACAAATTACAACAACTCAGATTAACGGAAAATCTACAGACTCTGTTTCAACCCATATTAAAGTCTCAAGAGGAAATTAAAAATAAATTAGAACCTCCTATAGAACCCACCCCTCGTATAGAACCCAAGCCGATTGAATATGGTGGTATTAAGACCTTAGATGATATAAAACGTCTTTTTTCAAACCCCGACCCAGATTTACCAAAGAGCATTTCACCAATCGTTGAAAGTCGGGACCCGAAACAAGAAGATTGAAAGAAGTTGATTTATACATAACAAAAGTTATTGAGGAAGAGGAGAAGGTAGATGATTATGCAGAAGATTATCCAATCATACAAGAAATAGACGAATTCGAAAATATGGTTTCTGGGCAAGGTATAACGTTTTTACCAGACAACAACGAAAAATTGCTTAATAGATTACGAATAATATTAGCGGCCATGAAGGAAGGTCATCGCTCGAACAGACAATACATTGAAGTCAATGGCATATTAAAACCACTTTTGGAGAAAAAAATCATCACTAAAAAAGACTATATAAACGTCATTAAAAATGTCCAATAAAGAACAATTGTTCGTTATAACCTCAAATAAATCGGACATTAAATTGTCTCTAGACTACGAGTATGAACTCGATCGCGATAAACAGTACGAACTGGGATTAAAGTATTTCTCCGTTTACAATTCCATTAGAAATATCAACGAAAACAACAATCAACTAAAAATATCGACGGATAACGGAGTAATGTTCAAAGCCATAAGCTTACTATCGGAAAGCTACGAATACGTAGCCATCAACGAATACCTATCCGAATACGCAGGAAGCGTGAACGGCAAAAACAATATCGAATTCGAAGGTAATTTTAATCTGAACAAAATAAAACTGATCTTGAGAAATAACAGTCAAGTCGATTTCAACGTAGAAAATTCGTTGAATGCGTTGCTAGGGTTCGATAAACGACTATACGCGAAATCCACCGCACAAGGCCAACATCGAGAACGACATCGACGTGATCAACATTCACTGTAATTTGATCAACGGTGGATTTTTCAACAAATACAAACGTCAGATCATATACAGTCTTCCAACATTCACGGTACCGATCGGATACAGAATTATAGAGAAACCGTTCCAAATGACCTATTTTCCACTTAATTCTTTCATGATCAAAGATATAAATCTGGAAATCAAAGACGGTAAAAACAGGTTCATAGATTTCGGTAACGAAGAAACAACTTCATTTAAAACAAATCAAATAGCTCTTCGTTCTCTTCTTTAATAGTAAGATAATCGAAATCATCAAATTCGCAGTTTTCATCAAAACTCAATTCATCTTTGTCGTTGTAAGGATACATGATCCCTTCGCTGTTTGGTGGCTTTCTCTTGACTAAATTCAGATAACTTCTAAACACTTTAGTTTATTTATCCTTTGGAATAACGACTCCATTGGTGAAACTTTTTTCCCATGGTTTCTTAAATTCATTCGACGCATCATGTCCGCTGGCCAACTGAATGTAATCGTCTACACTGATCTTATCGTTAGAATAACCTTTAAATGTTTTCTTATAACCTTTAAATGTTTTCTTTTCTTTTAAAACACCATCAGAAGTTAGAATGATATTGTATTTAACTTTTGGCGCTAAATATAAACCAAATATGATTCCACCATCGCCGTAATCGTTTTTACCTTTACAATATTCATTTTCAGATACTAATCCAGCTTCATTCAATTTATCCCAATTGCTAGACGAAATGTATAAACTATCGGTATCGGTATAGTATATTTTGGGTTTATAAAATCCATTTATTACGTGAATGAAATTATTCATTATTTTTTTACTGTGAGATAAAACGAATGATCCTAAATGACTTGGGGTTAGTCGTGTAGTAGATTTAGTTTAAGATATTTCTTTTCCTTCTTTTTCTATTTCAACGATGTATTGAGTCTCATTTATTTTTTCATAGTTTTTAACATGTGAATCGAAGTTGGCTTTAAAAGTTGCTTCACTCCATAGATGTCTGGATGAAGACATATCCTTCTGAATAGATTTACCATACAAGGAATTACCTAATAATTTCATGCAATTACTTCCTACGAGATTACCTTCTCGTTTATATTTATTTTTTAGATCTCTCAAAATTAAAATATAATCTCTATAGGGTGGAGTTTTAAAATTTTCTTCGTATACTATACCATCTAATATTCTAAAAATTCGTCCACCAGCTTTAACTATCTCTTGAATGTCGACCGATTTCGTGACAGAAACCATTTCTGATTTTAGTGTCAGTTTCCTTTTTTCCTTCTTTGTTCGTAAAACTGATTTTATCTTTAGCTGGTATCGGTTGGAAGAACATGTTTGTGGGAAACTCAAACCAGATTTTTAAAATGGCAGTTTTGGGTCTACATTTTTGTTTATTGAAGAGTCTTACAAATGTTTTTACTTCTTCTGGTAGAAACGGTCTACCACTTTCCGCTTTAGGATATTCACACTTTAAATCCGACATCGCTGATGCGTACAAACCGTTAGCATCGAATGCCATTAGTTAAGTACATTTTTTATTTTTAAGTTTTGAATGAACCTCTGTTATATCTTTTGTGCTTGCGCTGTATTCTTTGAATAAATCAATGATGTTATCACTTTGTGAAATAAATTCCTTTAATACATTACTAATTTCATCCATTTTATTCGTTTCAAATGATTTCCGATTTGCCGAAACTCTTCCTCCTTTAATGGATTGTCTGATAAAATATCTTATAAAAGGGTGTGTATGTGAGTAAGCTTTTTCTACGTTTTCTTTTTCAATGTGTTTTGGAACCATTCTAGTAGTTTCGTACCATTCTTCTTCAACCATTTATTTATCGTAATGATATAAATAATACCAACCCTAATCAACGTTAGATTATTGGAAACGTTCTGGAATACAACTTCTTTCATGACTGGGTTATATTTTATCAAACATGCTCCGAGACATAACGTATCTCTTTTAGCGTAAGGTTCCCATTCGTGTCTTAAAGATTCCCAATTATCTTCGGTGTATTTTGCAATGTCTATATCCACGATCTTTCTCAAATTCATCTGTAGATTAGATGAATTTCCCCATGCCGCCAAACTAGATGTTTCGTGTTGATAGGAATATGTGAAATTAATATGTTGCAAATACTTAGAGTTGCCCATGATTTGTTTTTGTCTTTTCCATTTTTTCTGTAAATATTCGTCGGTGTATGGATTAGATGAAGGTAGAGATAGAATACCTCTGGGGGTTTTTAAAGGGCATTGCGTTAGTTTTTTCGCATTTTTAAAAACGATCCAGTTTTCAAAACCGCTACCGTTATGAGAAATTAATATTAATCTCTTTCTATCATATTCTAAACGTTGCAACATTTGATCGATGCAATCTTCACCCACAAATATTTCTACTATATTCATTAGTTTATCATAAAATTCTTCTGGAACACTATCAGTAGGATTCAAATCTGGAAAGTTATGTTTTGTTCTGTCCAACATTTTTCTTTTTTTTTCTAAATTAATTAACGTGCAAGAATAAGGATTGGCTTTATTCGTTTCTTTTTCGCTATAGGTTTCGCAATCCCACGCGTATAAACAATCATCGTGAATGATTGGAAAAACATTTAGTTTTAGAGGTGAAACTCGTGTTACCGCATTATCATCTCTACAAGTTCTCCATACGTTTTCACCGTAATTATCTTTTATTTCTTTAATGCCCAATGTTTTGTTATTTCTTCTAATGAGACAGAAATGCGAGTTGTGTAAGTAAAATACCCAATCTAATTCCTCGGACACTTTCTTTGGTTGAAAATGTCAATTTTGGGGCAAATAAATTTGAAAATAAGTATTAAATTTCTTATTGAATTCATTGATTCTAGCAGTTGTCATCACTCCTTTTCTGTTTGATTTTGGAAAACTGTTGATGAAATCTTGAAATTCTTTTGTGTAGTCTTTGTTCAAAACACGATTTACGCACTTTACAAAGCAGTGTCCATCGCTTGGTATGTAACAATTTTTACCGGCATATTCATTTATCTTTTTGAG